AGATGAGAAGGCAGAGAGGGTCAGGAACTGGTTGAATGGATGTGAGAAATCCAGGGTGGAAAGGAGGAGTGTGCTGTCACAGTATAGGGAGAGCAACTAGGGTCACATAACAATGTATGTATAAATTTTTGTATGAGAGACTAACTTGAATTGTAAACTTTCACTTAAAGTACAATAAAATTATGAAGAGTAAAAAAAGACCCTGTTGCTATTCCCATTTCACAGATGAGGAGATTGAGGCACAGAGAAGCCAAGAAGTGTCTCTTTGCTACCCTAGCCTGCATCTTGGCACTGCCAACCCCCCTCCAGGCCCCAGAAGCCCCCCTCACAGAGGTGGTCCTGCTCACCTCAGCACTCCGGCTCCTGGCCTCCATGGCGCTGCTGGGAGTCACGTGGGCCCCAGGCTCCTGCTGCTTCTCCCCCTTCTGCTGCAGGACCAGCTTCAGTTCTGCATGGAGCAGCTGCCTTTGAGCCTGTGGGGCACAGGGACAGGAGCTTGAGGCCAGGAGAAGATGGGGCTGGAGACTCGGCTTAGAGGGTGAGGTTAGGGTGGGTATTGGAAGAGGAAAGGGACCCCCAGCCCAGCTATGCTCTCACCGCTGCCTGGGCGCAGACACCCCCTCCTAGCAAGAGCCCAGCCTGGGGTGCTGCACAGCCGTCGGCGGGGCTCACGCCCTTCCTCTGGGGTCTTGCTGCCTGCCGGGAAGAGACCAGGGCGTGAGGCTCCAGGCAGGCCGAGGACAGGCAGGGAGGGGCATGTGGCGCCGGCCAGTGCTTACCTCAGGGTCACCTCCCGCCCCTTGGGCCTCCTGGGTCTGGGGCTCTAAGAAGGATAACATAAACAGGATTATTGGCTCACCCCCCGCCCCCACCACTGATTGCTTCCTGAGTGCCACGCTCCGTCATTACCCTATCTCCATATGCAGGTGGGGAAACTGAGGCTTAGAAGACCTCTGCCTAAGATGACACAGCTGGACAACACAGAGTAAAGCCAGAATGGATGCTAGGCCTGTCTGGCAGCAGAGCCCCTGTGCTCACCCACCTTAGCTGACCCAGGGGGGCCAAATCCATCATAAAATAATTACAGCCACTCCTGTGTACTCCCAGTGGGCACACCACCTCACCTCTCTGTGCCTCAGTTCCCTCATCTGTAAAATGGGGAGAATGAGAACACCCGTCTCGCAGGGCTGTCGTGAGGGTCAGATGAGTTAATAGATTCAAAGTGTCTGGCCGATGGTAAGCGCTTTATGAATACTTGCCATTATTATTATTGCTAAGAATGTCAGGTGGTCCCGACCTTGGGCCGAATGCCCCACATGTGTCACGGCATGTAACGGGACTCAGAAGAGCCTTGTCAAGTCAGCGCTATTATTGAGCACATTACAGAGTTGATGACTGAGACTGGGAGAGGGGAAGTTCCTTGCCCAAGTCACAGATGGCCAAGTGGGACTTGGACTTGTCTGAAAGCTCCAGCCTGGTATGTGGGTAATAATAACCAATGGGCATTGAGTGGGTACTCTTTACTAGTCTCTGGGTTAAGACCGGAGCCCTGGTGACGCCGTGGTTAAGAGCTTGGCTGCCAACCAAAAGGTCGGCAGTTCGAATCCACCAGCGGCTCCTTGGAAACCCCATGGGGCACTTCTGCTCTGTCCTATAGGGTCGCTATAAGTCGGAATCGACTCAATGGCAATGGGTGATGGGTTCGGTTAAGACCTTCTGCCTCACCCTGTTTTAGAGAAGGGAACAGGCTCAGAGAGGCTAAGCCACCTGGCTCAAGCCTGCACAGCGGGAAGGAGACAGAGCTGGGATTCACACGCAGCCTCCCTTCAGGTCCTCCTGGAGAAAGGGCAACGGACACTGCCTTCCCCGCCCCCACTCTCCGACTCAGGGCTTGCCCTCCCGGCCCCCACCTGGCATGCCAGCCTGCCAGCCCCCACTCCGCGGGGAAAGGTCAGGCCTCACGAGGCACATTCCCTCACACAATGGTCCATCTGCTGTGCCCGGCCACATTCCACCCCTTCCCACCCACTGCCAGCCACACAATGGCGCTTCATAGCCCACCACTACCGACCAGGACAGAGAACACAGGGACCCCCACAACCTTCCGCTGCACCCACTCCACCTGCCGGCCCCACGCCGCATCCCAGGGGTCCTCTTTGGGTTCCCAAGGAGCCCTGGTCTCTGTGCCCATCCCCAGCCTCCTCTTTGAGCCCCCAGCCCCTCCAAGCAGAGCGCAGAGTTCTCCGGGGCCAGCTCCCATGTCTGGGTGCTTCCTCTGAACCGGACCCTGTGCTGGGATCCACAGGCCTCAAAATCACCCTGGATGTGGTGGAAACAGGCTCAGAGAGGGAAAGTGGCCTGCCAGGTTCACACAGCCAGGAAGGGGCAGAGCTAGGCCTTATTCCCTTGATTCCTACTCCACAGGTAACTTGTATTGGAGGCTCTGAGCACTGGGGGAAGCCCAACGGGGCAGCTGGAGCAGGCGCTGGGTTGGGCAGCGGGGGCTGGGGGTGTCAGAAATAGGCATTTTTAGAGGATCCTCGTCAGTATCAGCCCTGGGCTGGGCAGGTACTTTACGAATGTGACCTCATGGGACCCCATTTTACTGATGAGTAAAAGCATCCAGAGGCTCATAATGACAGAGTAGGGACTTGAACCCAGGTCTGAAAAACTAACTCTGAGTCCCTTTAACCAGGACCATGGCACACCATAGCGTCCTGAGCTGGGGGTGGGAGAAACCTAGTACTTGTAGGTGGGGGGCGGGGGGGATGGAGTAGGGGGTCTCCAGGGCCACAAGTTCTCTGCTTGAGGTTCAGGCAGCAGGGGCCACACCCAGAGGCTGGTACAGGAAGCGCAGCCAGGGCAGGGCAAGACAGAGTGCCCTCTTTCCTCACCCTGCCTGGGACAGCCGCCCAGCCCCAGGTTATATTTAGTTCAGTGGTGGCCTTCCTGAGCCACGTACCCAGCTCCTGAGGTGGGGTGGGGGCAGCTTCGGAAGGAAACCCACCCCACCCCAGGCACTGTCTTGTTCCCAGCTGTGCCCATCCCACTGGGCAGGAGACGGAATGGGGGTACTTCTCGGGGAGGGTCCCTGGCTTGTGTTTGGGGAAGATCTATAGCGGAAGCCCCCCCTGGTGAATCAAGGCCGGGAGGGCCCCCCAGACGCCAACAGCCCCGTTTCTTGGGTGCATACTGTGGCACTGGTCTGGTACATGCCCGAGCGAGCTCCCAGAGTCCTCAGAGTCCCCGTTTCTTGAGTTCTTACTATGTGCTAAGCTCCTTCCCTGCCTTCGCTCTTGTTAGATCCTCACCATAGCTCTCGGGGGCAGGTACAACTTAGATACCTATTTCAGATGCCAATGGTGCCCTTCAGAGTGGCTGGCAGGGAGGGGCTGGGGTTTAGGTCCTGCTGAGGAATCCCCAGGCTTTGCCCTCTGCACCTTCCCCCACAGCGACTGCTGCCAATGTCGTTTGGGAATTTTCCCCACTCAGAGCCCCTGATCTGGTGCCCTTGGCAATGGGAAGGGGCGTTCACCTGACTCACCCAGGCCCCTGGACCTACTTTATGCCATTTACAGGCTGAGGCAAGAGTTAGGAGCTCTGGTGGCACCGTGGTTAAGAGTTGGGCTGCTAACCAAAAGGTCGGCAGTTGAAATCCACCAACTGCTCCTTGGAAACCCTATGGGGCAGTTCTACTCTGTCCTATACGGTAGGAATCAACTCAACAGCAATGAGTTTGGTTGGTTTTTTAGGAAGTTAAGGGGATGGCCTTGGGCTGCCTTAGTTAAAATCCCCGCTCCAGCACTTCTCTGGTATGAGTACTTGGGCTAGGGATTTCACCTCTCGGGGCCTCAGTTTCCTCATCTGTAAAATGGAGCCAATAAGAGTGGCTGTGAGGATTTGTGAGTACACAGTAGACATAAGGTACTTGGAATATTCCCAGTATATAGTAAACGCTCAATTAATGTAAGCTAGTCTTTGACAGGAACCCTGGTGGCACAGTGATTAAGCACTCAGCTGCTAACCGAAATGTCAGCGGTTTGAACCCAGCCACTCCACGGAAGAAAGATGTGGCAGCCTGCTTCTGCTTCCATAAAGATTTACAGCCTTGGAAACCCTATGGGGTGGTTCTGCTCCATCCTATAGGGTCCTACGAGTCAGAATCAACTTGACAGCAATAGGCTTGGTTTTTTTTGAGTCTCTGACAGCAACAGGGTGTATATGGGGGAGTGTCTGCATTTCTGTCTCATACCCAGCCTTTGCTCCCCAGTGACCCCCACTCTCCCCCACCAAAGGAGAACTTCAGGTAGCGCAGCCACCCCAGCCCCCTATTCCAGGGCCCAGAAAACCTGCCCCACCCCAGCCCTTTATAAGCAACAACTCATTTACTTTCACACCAGCCCTGTGAGGGGGCCTCTGTGAGCCCATTTTAGAGATAGGAAAACAGAAGTACAAAGGGTGGAGTATCTTGCCCAAGTCTACAGAACCAGAAAGGGGGGAGTTGGGTTCCGGCTCCAGGGTCTGTTCCTCTTGAGCCCCAGGCACCCTCCCAGCACCTCCCAGGACCCTGCGTCTCATTCCCACAGCTTCTCAGCCTGGCCAGAGAGGAACGGCCTGCTGATTCCTTACCGCTGGGCCTCCAGACACCTCGAGAGCTCCAGTCCGTCTGCTCAGTCCCAGCTTCAGGCTTGGGGGGAAAAGGAATGGGAACGGGGAGGAGGGGAAGACCCTAGCCATTGGCTGCCAGGGTGTGATGTCACCAGAGGGTGGGTGGCAGGGAAACAAACATCCCCCTCTGCCAGCTACATCCATCCTCCAACGGGTGGGGAGCCAAGTGTCAGCCGCTCTCCCATGCGTGGACTAAGACCTCTACCAGGAGACCCGTCCCACTTGGAAACTCAGCACCCATCACCACCCTGTCCAGGCGCCCTGACCCAGGCATGGCCCCACTGGTTCCCAGTGTCCCTGAGATAAGCTCCCTCCATTCCATCCCCCAGTTCAAATCCTAGCTTGGCCACTTCCTGGCTGTGTGACTTGGGGCAAGCCAGGTCACCTCTCTGGGCCTCAGTTTCTTCACCTCTAAACAGGGGTAGTAAGATTGGAGTTTTGAGGATTAAATGAATTAAAAGAGGCTAAAAACTTAAAACAGTGCCTAGCACAGAGTGGGAGCCCTGGTGGCGCAGTGGTTAAGAGCTACAGTTGCTAACAAAAAGGTCAGCAGTTAGAATCTACCAGCCGCTCTTTGGAAACCCTATAGGGCAGTTCTACTCCGTCCTATCAGAATCGACTCGTTGGCAACAGGTTTGGTTTGATTTTAGCACAGAGTGAGTGCTACTCCCAAGTATTTTGTATTATTGTTATTCACACAAATTAG